GTGGTTTGGCCAAGGCAAGCTGAAGACGCATCCGATTGAGGTGAGGAGTGGGCTGGAGGGTGTGCCGCAGGGGTTGCAGGATTTGAAGGATGGGAAGGTTTCGGGTGTTAAGCTTGTTTATAAGGTTGATTAGATGGGATGTGTTATCTTTGTGGAGATCATATAAATTCTTGTCTAATATTTGTGCCTGTTGCAGCCATTAGTCACGAATAAGTCAGCTGTACTGTCATGAACATACCCAGGAACCCAGAGACCTCGATCGTTCTTGCCCAACAACCACTTGCGAAACACATCCTCTTGCAGCTGTTGTTTGGGTTAGCAATGTCCACTTCGCTGTATTGAAGAGCGGCGACAGTAAAAGGATGATGGCTTACATGCTCGAGGTTTTTGCCCGTGACGAGACCTCGTTCGGAGTGGGACTCACGCCTGGTGAAGACACCATTAGTATCGCGGCCAAAACTGTGCGGGTAAGAGACTCACCCTTCACTCCGACTGGATTCCCAGGGCATATCTTTTAGAAAGCGCTTCGGCACCCTGTTAGATGCACACTTGATTCGATTACCGCTCGGTAACGTATACGTGCTGTACGTCGTTCGAGCAATCTCTGCTTGCTCAGCATCAACGAAATTGAGAACTATAAACCATTCCCCCGATGTCAGCTTGTTCATCTCAAAGCACTCCACATCAAAAGAATGAAACAGATTATAAACTTCCACTTGCAAGTCCCTGGCTTTTACGCCGCGAAAGTACCCCTGACAACTTTTCACAACTACTTGGCGGGCTGAACCAAATTAGTCAACGCTTATTTGCTTTCACAACGGAGGCAGAACGCACCCTCCTTAATCGGCCTAAATATATCGACCGGTGGGGACAGTAAAGGTGCACGCAACCGTATATTCTCGATGCCTGGCCCACTCGTAGCATACCAGCCCCACTCGAACTGATAGACTTTGGAGTCCAAGAATCCTTCATCAGGATAGGGCCAAACAAGGACTTTGGTGTCAAAAAGGAGTGCACCTTCGACCTTTGCGACGGCTCGGGCCGCATCCTCCACAGTAGGCATGACTGCGTAAACCCCTCTAGTCAACCCCTTCCAGGTATAGGTCGACAGAGTCATCCCCGGGTTCAAGCCATGATCCTCTAATAATTGCCGATAATCCTGCTCAATGGCAAACTTGGGTCCGCAGAGGTAGATCGTTCTAGTCTTCATTTCTTTCGTAATGTAATAGTCCCGGAGCTCACGCCGGTTGGAAAAGGGTAAAGGCTGATACACCTCCCTGGAGAAGATGGTGTGCTTCATACGAACTCCAGGAAGAAGACAGGGACTGGTACTTTTATGAAGCGGTACCGCATTGCATAGCGTGAAGGGTCTAGGCAAGCCGGGGGGCTTCCCACGCAGCAGTAATGTTCCGTGTTTAAACATTCCGTGGTCGGTATAGGTACAACGACATCAGCGATGCCGTGATAGCTCTTGCGCGAATGGCAGTTCCGACGATGCAACGTGGATAACACGGGAACGTGTACAGCGGGGTGTGAACGATGCAATGATTGGTTGAATCAAGATAGAGAAGCAAGCAAGCGCTTTAGAAGCGGTTAAGGCAAGATCCGCACTGCAACTCGTACGTACAGCAATTGTAGGTCAAGAATGAGAGAGAGACCCAGGAGTTCTTCGGAAAGCTAGACGGGGTGGATGTCGAAGGAATGGACGATGGAGGTTCTCCAGGGTTAGCATGCGGCGCGGTTGGCGCTAAACCCTTCTATTCTTAGCGCCATCTCTTTCCGCGGACTGGGAGCTGGAAAGCCAAGTAACCCTCCACCCCTCTTCTCCTGTCACCCCAAAGACTGCACCTTACAGTTCCGCATCGTCGCGTTGACTCCTCACGCACTGTATGTCATGCCAGGATCAACGACGTTCGACGCGATGCATATCCCCACAACGGGCTAGCCTGTCCAGCGGGATGAAGTCGCCCTCGGCCAATCTCAGCTCATCCTCCCGGCACATGCGCATCGTGCATATGTCGCGGTTGACGATCAACAGGCACTCTTTTACACACTTACAATGCACCCTATGCGATTGGTCACAGCTGCTGTCAGAACTGTACTGAATGCACGATGCGGTAATGTTGGCGGCCGGAGTAGTACGAAGGCGATGAAATCGTACGCGAAGGACGGCACGTTGAAGTGCGATGGAAGTACTTAAGCTTTCTGAAGTCTCGGGACTTTGAAAACTAAGAAGAGAGTCACCGAAGCTTCTTCGATCCTCGCAATGCTTTCAATCCTTCTTGCAGCGGCGCCTCTAGCCTCGCTCGTGTGTGCATCTTTCGATGGCAACCTGAACTACCACTCGCCTTCTCGCCGACACGAAGGCCTTGGCATTGATGTGCCGAAGGTCGCGAAGAGAAGCCTCATCAAGCGGGCGACTCCGTGGGATCCGGCTCAGCTAAGCTTCACGCACGGCGTCGCCTCTGGAGATCCTTATCCCGACTCTGTCATTCTCTGGACACGCATTGCGCCATCTCTCGAGAACGACAGATCGAACGTGACTGTTACGGGTAATGTAGCTTTCTACAACCACGAGACAGAGAAGTACATCAAGGCTTCACCTAACCCTATTTGTGTGGACTACCGCGTTGGTAAGGACGGCAACTTCACCAGCATCGTCGATCAAGGCCAGGCTTACACCACTTCCGATATCGACTTCACTGTCAAGGTAAGATCTCAGATACTATTATATCAAGTGATCAGCTGACTTTGGGAAGATCGAAGCAAAGAACCTGTCCCCGTTCACCCAGTACTACTACCAGTTCAACGTTTGTGGTAGCTCCAACAAGAGCCCACTCGGCAGGACCAAAACCAGCCCCGACGAAGACGACGATGTTTCCAAAGTTGGTCTTGCTATCTTCTCCTGTTCCAATTGGCAGAACGGTTACTTCAACGCGTACGGCAATGCTGCCAGGAAAGATCAAGTTGACTACTTTGTAAGTATGATGATTACGTGCATTTGTGACTCTGCTAATCTGGAGATGAAGGTTCACCTTGGTGATTACATCTATGAGTCCACCAAGGGCAAGCTCGGCCAAGACCTGCGCGCCACGAACCCGTCGCGGGAGATCGTCACACTTTACGGTTCGTATGCAAGTGATCATTGGATCTGACAGCTACTAATCCGTCTCAAAGACTACCGAACGAGGATTGGCCAGTATCGCACTGATGACGACCTTCGCCTTGCTCACCAGAACTTTGCTTGGATTCCAACATGGGACGATCATGGTATGTTGCTTGGCATCGCACCCCTCTACTCAACTAACGGATGGGCAGAGGTTGCAAACAACGGTTATCGCGATGGCTTTAGCGGCATGAACAACACTGAACAAAGCTTCAAGAAGTTCGGAGGAGTGAGCGTTGACTCTAGGAAGATGAACGCTGTTCGCGCCTACTTCGAGTGGATGCCGTACGTGTCTCGCTTTGATTGTCCCTGATCTCGCTAACGACGATCGCAGCATTCGTCAGGTCGACATGGATGACAACCTCCGCATCTGGCGCAACTTCAAGATGGGCAAACTCTTCGACTTGATCATGCTCGACACTCGCAACTACGACCGATCCATTACGACACTCAACTGGAACGACGACTACATCGAGGATCTCAAGGACGACGCTGGTCGCTCGCTCATGGGCAGCCGCCAGGAACATTGGTTCTACAACCAGCTGTCCGAGTCGCATGAACGAGGTGCTACCTGGAGGATTATCGGTAATCAGATCATCTTCTCCCGGATGAACAACAGCGCAGTGTACAGCAACGAGCTGAACGCCGATCAGTGGGACGGATACACTGCGAACCGCAACCGTACTCTTCATCACCTTTACAGCAACGAGATCCCGAACACTGCCTTCTTGGCTGGCGACTCTCATGCCAACTGGGTGTCTGATCTTGTCTGGCTTGATGAGACTCCATATGATCAAGCTACTGGTGCCGGCGCGATCGGTGTTGAGTTTGCTGGTACGGCCGTCTCTTCCAGCGGTTATGGCGCTGGTAGATCTATTGCAAACTCGAGCGATCGCTCCGCAGCTCTTATGCGCGATAACAGAGAGCTTCAGTGGACTGAAGGCTACTACAGAGGGTACTACGAGCTGTTCATCTCTCCTGAGGAGCTCAATGCGCAGTACTACGGTAAGTCGATACATGATGACCTTTACCATGCCTCACATGCTGACGATGTCTAGGCTCTCCATCCGTCGCATCTCGCAACCCCTTCGATATCAGCCTCGCGAACTTCACCGTCAAGGCTGGTGCCAACCATCTGGAAAGGACGAACGGAACCGTAGTTGCTGCAGGCGGTCATGTCGAAAGTGGGGCGCTCCAACGTGGTCCCACAACCCCAACTAACCTGACGCTCAACACTGTTACTGGGGTCTGGAACGTTACTGGCTTTGAACAGATGTTTGTCAAATACGCGTAAGAGGCTTCATGCAGGGCGAAAGGGCGGCCTGAGCTGTGGCTGTTAGGCCTCCAGTTCCACATGGATGTGCAGGACAGATCAATTGAAAACTCCATCGTGACACAAACAATGATCTCCCTCATATCCCATATCTTGATATTGATCTCTTTGCGGAACTCATGATGAGACTGCTGTCGCTGCGCAGAGTGCGCCCAATCGGGCTAGGTGACAATGTGGGCATGCCCCTTGATCGACCGAGCGCAAGGAAGCCAACCCATTGGGCAACGAGGTATACCTACCTAAATGGGTTCCACGATGTAGGTGTCCTACCCAGGCTCCATCTGCGCGATCTCTTCGGTCGCTTGAAAGGAGCTTCGATAGATGGGTGTCTACTCACAAAGCTCGTGCTGACAGGCGGTGGTGGCGCTTGCCCCGCTCAACGCAAATCGTCATGACGCATGCCTGTTTCCACGCTATAAGATAACAAGGACAGCGCGCATCGGCGGCATCGAATCTATCGGAAATCTATCGCGACAAGCTCCGTTCAGATCAAACAGCAATATGGCGTCCACGATGAGGGCCTGGCAGTACAACAGCACCAAAGGCGGCATCGAGAAGAACCTCCAGATCAATGAGGCCGCGCCACAACCAGTGCTTCATGATGAACAGATTCTTGTCCAAGTTCACGCCATGGCGATCAACCCTGTCGACCACAAAGTCACTGAAGGCCCAATGCCTCTGCGGCTTGTAGGCTCAGACATCACCCCAGGTGCTGACTTTTGCGGCAAAGTCGCCAAAGTAGGCAAGAAAGTCGACGAGTACCAGATTGGCGAATTTGTCTTTGGCGCAAAAGTTGGTGCGCTGACGGGAGGAAGCATGGCGCAATACGTAGCCGTGGAGAAACAAATGTTGGCAAGGTTACCAGAAGGCGTGAAGGTCGAAGACGCAGCAGGCGTCGGCATCGTGGGGCTGACCGAGTAAGGCCGCGCAGGCTGCGACCGAAGCCATCGGATATGCTAACCCGATCATCAGATACCAAGCCATCGCGCCAAACGTCAAGAGCGGCGATAAAGTGTTCATCAACGGCGGCTCAGGCGGGACCGGTGTGTACGGCATCCAAATTGCGAAAGCGCTGGGTTGCCACGTGACGACCACCTGCTCAACCCCCAACGTCGACCTCTGCAAGGGCCTAGGCGCCGACGAAGTCATCGACTACAAAACCAGCGATGTAATCGAAACACTCTCCTCCAAAGGCCAGATCTACACCCTCGTCGTCGACAACATCGGCACACCACCCAACCTCTACAAAGCCGCATCCGCTTTCCTCACTCCAGCCGGCAAGTTCGTGCAGATCGGCGCGACGATGAATGTTGCTAGCATCAAGAATGTGGGGTCAAACATGCTGTTACCCGGATTTTTGGGCGGTGGCAAGAACAGCTACCAGTTGTTGATGGCGAAGCCGTCATCGGATGCGCTGGGCCAGATTGGAGGGTGGATGAAGGAGGGGAAGGTCAAGGCTGTGGTTGATGAGGTGTTTGAGTGGGAGGATGCGCCGAAGGCGTTTGAGAAGTTGAAGACGGGGAGGGCGAGGGGGAAGATCGTTGTTAGGGTGCCGTTGGATTTGGATAAGGCGAAGGAGAAGGCTGAGGGTGGAGATGCTTGAAGAGGGTTGAAAGCACAATCTGTCAGTGGAGTGTATTTTCGTCAGATTACCACCGGATGTATTGATTTGTAGTCAGTTTTCTGTCCTCCCGTGCCGCTAGACACTTCCATCCGATGTTCACTGGGCTGCTTCATTCTACTCAGCCTAGTACATTTCGTGAAAGGAATTGCGACTAGACCAGACTCATCATTCACGACGCGAGCACGTACGTCGAGCCTAGTGTTTGCCTAGATCGCGGTCCTCGTGCGCCTACTTAGCTCGCGACTTATCACGTTACTAGCTAAGCACGTGTAACTGTACATCGTGATAGCCCTACATAGCTCAACTTGAAGCGCCTGAACTGCCTTTTCTACTCCAATCGCTACCGCCATACCACGAACAACGCGAGACCGCCAAGATGGCCCCTCGAAATCCACTCAAGACCAAAGCTAAGGCAATCTCGTTGTAAGTCGGCGTAGATGTGCGGACAAGCAGCATTCCAGTAACTCACGACTCCGCAGCATTATACAAAAGCGAAGGGATAATCAAGAAATGTAAGTGAGTCATTTATTCTCATTTTTCAGATGCTCACGAAGCTATTGCAGGAATAGTGCGAATGACAAAGAGATCGAAGAGCTTGAGACTAAGCTGCGTGCACTTCAAAGCACGCGAAGCACACTTCAGCGCAAGAAGCGAAGCTTGAATGGGTAAGTGTGAGACTCCTACACAACGCAGATTGATCACTGACGTCGCATTTCCTTCAAGCAATTTCGGCAAGTCAACTGATGACTACACCTGCATGTTGAACCGCCAGTTCGCCGCCGAGATGTTCGAACGTCTCTCTGCCCGCGAAGTGCGAGACATGGTTTACTTCCATCTCATGGGTGGCGCTCCCGATGTCAGCATCATTCAACGTGGGAAAGACCTGCCCGATAACGAAGGGAACAAGTACTACTTCCACGTTGACCACAGTGACCGTCGCGGCCAGGCTCGCGGCCTTGACAACAAATTCGAGCACTTCTTCAGGGAAAAGTATATGGGAAAGGAGTTTGTGGTCGAACTCGCGGAAGAGTTTAATACGTACGCCTCCTACAATGTCTGGCACATCGATGACGTTCCCTTCCTACTTAGTGTTGGCCCCTTGAGGGACGCGCCCTTCCGACCCATCGACTTCCTCCGAACGCTCTCGGTCGACATATTCATCCCCATCCCCAACCATTTGGTCCCGCCTGACCGGGACTATGTGGATCTTGCGCAACGTCCCCGGGACTATGTGATAGCTCGCCACATGACAGCAGAGGCTAATATAAAGAGGGAACGCTTCGAGAGCCAGGTGAGTTGGCTTGGCGATCTCGCGGCAACAGCACAAGCTTCCAGAATGAGCGTCACACTTAATGTCAGTGTGCGGACAAAGATTGCGCTTTACAGGTACAAAGCTGTGCTACTCCCGCATATCCAAACGCTTGTCGAAAAGGATTGCAAGGTCGTTGTTTCGTACGAGAAGCGGGGCAGGAACGTTTACCCCCAGCCGGGGGATACGGAAACAGTTACCTATGATCGGAGCATGTTGCTGTCAGCGGGCCAGGTGGAAGCTGCTATCGCCGCTCCTTTCGAAAGTCCCCCTTGCAAACTTACTCTAGAAACCATCTTTTCACCCAGGCGCGCATGTTAGATCTAGAAGACAAGAGGTATGAGCGCTACACGCGCACGTGTTTCTACGTGCAGTGTGGTGCAGCCTAGAAGGAGTCAGTGAGACTAGGGGATGTAGCATCACCGTGTACCACATGGTGCTAGGTTCGCGCACTGCTTCATATCCTTGTAAGAGATTAGTCTTTGCTCAAATATCACGTTTGGTCTCACAACAACTTCGTGGATGGACGCCGAACGATGCAGTGTCATCAGCAACGGAACCACACACCGGAATAAATGTTGTAGTAATAAAAATAATTCTCGTTTAATATGTCAAAGACGCCATGTATCGCTGGTCGTGTGTTTGAGAACAGCTCTTGTACGAGCGCATATATCTACGAGCGCGTTTACACCACCCGGTGGCATAGCAAGACCACACCCCTGAAGCCATCTCACAACACCTCTCCGCGCGGTGACTACATTGTTTTGTTGAGGAGCCGCAGTGATAGAAATAGAGATCCTAGAGAACACGAGATCTCACGACAACATCGAGCTTCCACTGTATCGATAGGCTCAACGTATTCAAAACCGGTTCTAATTGATGATAAGCACATGCAAGATATCCATGAGGCTAGTTACTTACTCAGACACCAGTCTTGAGTCGGTGGCTTTTCTAGCGCGACCTCGGACGGGTAAAGTCACATTTCCAGCTAGAGTAGATATCAGTGTTACGACGGGAATCACGTCGATATGACTGAACTTCCCCGTCAACCTTCACTCCGTGGTCTTGCAGATCATGCACAAAGGGAACCAGAGCTCGCTCAAAGCCTCTCGCTCCTGTAGGCGTCCAGGTGCGAATCAAGATATGCAGTTCGAGCTTGTTCAGTTGCTTGATCTTGGCGATGACAGCAAGTACTTTGACCTTTTTCTCAAAGGTATGGTTGGTAGCGACAGATTCCAAGTTCTGACGATCTCCTCCAGAGTTGCGCCTAAGATCGTACTGTCCTGTTCTGCGCCACCTGAGTTTATCGACGTCCTGATGGGCTTGGAAGGATAGCAGCACAGTGAGTGAGCGAACGAAGTCGAAAGCCCGGAGCGGAAGCGATGCTAGCGGCAGGCCATTTTCCAGAAACTCTTCCACATCGTTTGGGCGGTAAATACTATGATTTGCGCGTCTGTGGAGTTCTTCCAAGATCTCTTTTTGAAATGCCGTGCCCATAAACTCACTCCTTAGATAATGAGGGATGGGATCGAGTTCACTGTCGTTCCACGAGCTGAACGTCCATCTAGGGCCGGAGGAAACGCGCCAATCCTGACCCAGGAGTGATACGTCTGCTGAATGAGGGAGAAGGTGATCGTAGATCATATCTCGCAACTCGCGAGGGAGCTTATCAAGGAGGCTTTGAGAGAAGCTTTGGCACCAAGATTGGCCGTATTCTCGAGCAGCAGTAGCCTCTTCACGATGCAGTGCCTTTTGGCGACGCTTCAGCGAATGATATCTAGACTCGGCCTTCATTATCTCAAGTCGAGCGGCAGATGTGTTCGAATTGTTGGCGTCATTTTTCTTAAGGGCTAACGCTAGCGCTCGTCGGTTTGCGTCCAAGAGCTCGGCAGCCATGTCCGGAATCGAGGACGGGGTCTCGTCCGCGACTTCTTTCATCGAGAGATAGATGAATTTGGCGTAGGTGAATCGTCGATATTGAGGGTAATGGTCTAAGGTAGACGGGTCTCTGGGATGAGGGTGGCTAAGTACGGTTGACGGGAGATAACCGAGACATCAATCGCGTAGGGGACAGACTAGTGCTTAGGCAACAGCGAGTGATCGGAAGATTGGTACTCAGTGATCTGTGTTTACACGTCAATACCTTGAAGAATTTTTATGAGCTTGGACTAATGGCTGTCATTCCAGTGAATCTCTCGCTTTTTCGTGGAGTGGAAGACGGCCGTTACCCTATTTACTAAAACCACAATATCGAATCGTTAGTGCAGCTTTCGCTACAAGACAATGGAAAGCCTATATGTAAACAAGGTGTGTAATCCAAGCAATAGCCCACAAAGGCTGGTACTGAGCTGCATAAGGGTCAGGGGATGGATTGTGACTGAACTACAGATGTCGGTCTAAGCCGCTGCTCTATCGAGATTGCACACTCGCGCAAGATCATATGTCTGAATAAAGTAAAGAACGTGTATACAGCTGTCAGGGAAGTGTGGAAAAGTTGCCTGCATGCCTGCGACGATGTCTGGGGAGGACGTGGGGATGAAACGCGTAGTGTAGCAACCCCCGACGCTTCCTTGGCGTCGCCCACGAACTTCGACATTGTCGCATACCCCTTCAACCTCCCAAATCTCCAAAAGTAATGTAATACCACCGCGATGTCGTCCATACCGCGGCGCATCATCCTCATCGCATCGTCCGTCTCCCTCCTCCTCTTCATCGCAATCTCGCTAGCGACCGCCATCGAAGTACGCGCACCAACCACACCAGTCATACAGATCAACCTCGCGCAAGCTGCAAGAGTTGGAGATGGCGATGATATCGTCGCGGCGAAAGCGCTGTTGAACGGCACAGACTTCGACCGCGGCGATGTGTACAACGGCAGCAGCATCGTGTCCGGTGCGACGCTCGTACCCACCACGATGACCGAAACCCAGGACGGGATGATTGGCTTCACACCGGAACCACAAATGAGCGCTAGTTGGAGTGCTGAAGGTGTCTTGGGGCCTATTGCTACGCCAAAACCATCCGTCGCGCCTAAGCCTCGACCGCCGACCACTCCACAGATGCCGATCCTCGCCCTCACATACTCTGGTGCGGGCGGCCCCAAGCACTGCCGCGGCGAACTCTTGCAGAAGACGTACTTCCCACCACCCCTCGAAACGTGGAAGAACGGTACATGCATCACTCTCCCAAGCGAAGCGCGATGCGGCGTGTTCTATTCGAACAAAGGCGACAACTGCGAGGCGCAACTATTCAACATGCCAGACTGCTATAATACGACACGATCGTATGTGAATACAGTCGTTTTCATGCCCGAAGAAAGAGCAGTTGGTGCGCTTTGGAGCAGCATGTGGGTGCGGTGTGGTGTCGACGTCCCTGAAGCCAAGATGCTTGATCCGAGTATTCTTGGTGGTGCGCTGAAGAAGCCTGGCGGAGGTTGAAGCTGTCGCCGAACTGGGTCAGACCTAGCCACCCCTATAGGACCAACTAGCCGTTGCATAGCTTCGACGTAGCGCCATATCAGCCCGTGACCAAGCCACCTCGCCAACGACTCTGTCTCCGTTACCGTATTCGTTATTGTCATCGTCGTCATCTTCGTCGTCATCTTCGTCGTCATCTTCGTCGTCATCTTCGTCTTCATCTTCGTCGTCATCTTCGTCTTCATCTTCGTCTTCGTCATCGTCGTCATCTTCATCTTCGTCTGTGGACCGATCTGAATCATCGAATCCGTCTTCGGTGGTGCTGCGATCTGTCTCGGTATCATGATCCGTGCTATTGCCATCAATATGCAAATCTTCATATGGTCTTTCGAGAAAGCATTCTTCAATGGGCTCCGACCCGTCACACACGCGTACACGTACGACATCTGACGCGTCACAAATTTGAGGAAACAGTTCCCAACCCGTCTCGCACCAGCCACGGCGCTCTGACCTGCCACGATGGATCACATGTCGGTACCACGTCACGTTTGCAATCTTCAACTCTGCGATGCGAAAGTCCCCCGGGAACTTCCAAGTATCTGCTGGCATCGGCCGTTCGTCCCGATGGTAATCCAATTCGACATCCATGTCGCGCAATTCCAAGCACGGTAGTGGCCCTTGCCTGTGGCTGAATGCACGGACAATAGCAAGAATCTTCTCTCGAGGCTCGTGTACCTCTCGAGTGATGTACCTATAGCTGGTGAGCACGAGCCATCGAGGTTGAGTCTTTGCCAGAAGGTCCAGGTTTCCCTCCGGCCACGGCCCGACATTCCGTTCGCTGTTATTGTGGAACGTTGTGTATACGATCGTCAACGACTCGAGGACTGGCATACGGGTCGAACTGGAAATGCCAGCGCCGTATCGTAGACATCCCAAGTCGAGGACGAGGTGTTGGAGATGGGGTAGTGGCTTCGCAAGGAACGGGGAGAGTTTTATTCGACCGCGGTACGATATCTCATACGGCGCTGAGACTCTGTGTGTTCCCCTGTAGTCGAATCCTAACAGAAGCGACCTAAGAGCTTCCGCGTGTCCGCTTTCGTGTATCGATGTGTAAAGTTTCTACGTTCACGTGTTAGCCTCTATTTTGAGACTATCTGTGGAAATGATGGGTGATTTGACGTACTCCAAAGATGTCTATAGAGCGGAAGGGACCCTGCCTTCGTTCTGGAATAGTTTCATTGGCGACGTCTTTGTCATAAGAGTCACGGGGATCGTTTGGCTTAAAAGACTCAAAGATTGGGACACATCTAATGCTTTCCAAACGAGGCGCAATGCTCAGAATTGTCTTGAAAGCGTCCGCCAGATGGTCCTGTATCCAGACCGCCCGGGATCGTTGTATGGGTGTTTTGGCTATCTTGGCACCGCCGATAGTGAGCTGTTTGAACGACTGCGACACCCAGGGAAGCTGCAACAACCGCGTTAAACGGCCCAGATGCTCCTCAGTGCATTGGAAGGGTACATCATGTAGGACCTCTACGAAAGCTTTTTTTAAAGCGCTGTTGAGACTCCGACATGCTAGACGGGTGTTGTACACTGCCTGGCAACTCCCCACTAGTATTCGCGGTATGACTGGTGCGACCGAATCGTTGTATGGAGCATACGCAATGAGATTCATTCCGATCAGCTCGATGAGTTCAATCGGAAGATCAATTATGGTTCTGGGTGGCGCTGACGACATAATAGAAGTTTGGTGGGCGGGCTATGTCGACGATGGACAATGATGAGGCTGAAGAGATCAGATTCTGAGGGTTCGCGGAGCTATGGCGGGGATGCGGTGGGATTACAAGGATGTCTGGAGCTAGGCCCTTCACGGATTAGCGGCTGCGCTAACATCTAGCCGACCTCGGGAAATCCCCTCACCTCTCCTCTTTTCTCTGCAAGGAAGAGCACAAGGTCGTCTTTTCGGGCACACCCATCATAGCGGTAGAATCCCGTGCAGGTCGATGAGCTTTCGTCAGCCGAAAATTGCAATCTGATGTCACAGCTCCCTGTGAGTCACCAAAACGTGCCGACGATGAAGTCAAGAGTGAATAAAGCCATAATCTATCATGGCGTACGCGATCATCTTGCAACGAGATGCCATACACTTTCCTTCGGCATGAGAAAAAGTCAAAAATACTCACGCTTGACTCAAATACGCTGGTAATGGCTACACTAGGCCATGACTTCAATAGAATGTAACGAGAAAGATGTGCCACGCTGAGCCGCAGCAGACCGCGAAAATCAGAACCTAAGTCGATCTCATTCTCATCTTCAAATCTACTTTCACCTTCACCTTCAAATTCAAATTCAATGGCACTAGTCTCGTCCCAGAGCGCCGCGTCAAACGGACGACAGCTTCACCTACGCAAATCTCCCAACCCTCATTTGCTGCTACCCATGGACATCGCGCAGCTCAAAAGTCATGTCAAAATCCACTTCAACAAAGCTAGCAACACTCCGCGGCGTCTTGGCCCAGCTTCCAGATAAAGACGTCCTGCACAAATACCTCGGAAGGTCGACAACTGCTCCAAACCTACTTTGCGACGCTGTCCTCGTCGTCCTCCACCGCAAATGGTCAGCCCACCCACCGTATCGCCTCACCGAGCTTGGAATTACCACCTACGACCGATCTAGCATCAATCAAGGGCAGCCTATCATGGCTGGCCCGCACGCAGAAGACCTGCTACGTCAAGTATGGTGTCTACACCTTGTCATCCGCTCCACTGCGCATCTGGACTCTACAGACACCGGTCTCGATCCTTTCCATTTCGGCACAACAGTCTACGTATCCCAAGAAGAAGCTCTTTTCCTGCTCCACCAGATCTGGTACCAGCCCATGGACGAGCAGAATGAGGATGCAGGCTACCGACCCATCATATACATGTCCTTTGGCTCCAACAGCAGCATCAGCAGGGTACGCAAGACGGCGTTCGACTTCGACCCGACCCTTCTGGATACCACGGTAGCGAGTCTCGATGCGCAAATCATACCCCAGCAGTCTAAACTCACGCGCCACGCAGACGCGGACTTCGCATACCTTCTCAGACAGTTCAGCGTCCCGGTATATCACTCCGATAACAGCGGTAACGCAGCCATGTACGCCACCATCGTCGCTATCCTCTCAACCCTCCGCTTCGAGCTCTATGGATCACTACAGAATGCGAAGGCAAAGCCAGGGCGGGTGGGCCAGTCAAGTTCCAAGTCTGCGATATTCGTGGTGCAGAGCTTGATGAACTGGCCCACGCCGGCGCCGCCTGTTGGTGTAGAAGTCTTTTGCTGGAGGTGTGGAAGTGGTGAGCATGGGTTTTTGGAGTGTCACAATGCGGATCTGAAGTGTAGGAGGTGTGAATGTGCAGTTCAGGAGTGGAGGAGGAAGAATGCTGGGACGCATATGGAGGGGTCGTGTGCGTTTGGGCCTCGTTGAGCAGATGGGGCGGGGAGGTGTGAGGGCAGCTATACGAATCGCGTCAGTGTCACTATGAGTCGTTGATTCATGTAGTGGTGATGAAGGCCGAAGTTAGAACAGACTGAGGTCGGTGAGAAGTCACCATCAAGATCAAAGCATGCAAAGTAGGTGGCCCAAGGTTAATGTAGGCTCCAGGGGGTTCAACTTTCTATTGCATGAGATGGGGTCTGGCTTGCACGCCAGTGTGATGATTTCATTCGTAGCTGCGTAGCTACCTGGGTGTTCTACCGGTAGTCCTTTCAAACGTTTCCTTGGTCTCATCTCTCGCCTCCGCCCCTATGGACTTCCTCAATCTACTGCCCTCCAAATCCATAGTCCCTTGGCGGTATCGATAAGTACTGGTACATACACCTGGTAGTCTTGTGTGTGTTCCGCGCCCCAAACAGCCTCTTGACGCCCGAGTTGCTGCAAATCTGACAGGTCAGAGCAGTGTAGCAGGATTTGGCGAGATGACTCTTGTGATCGCATCGGACGCAATACACAAGCTCACCCCACGGAGGCGGCGACAACGACTGTCCCATCTCCATGACTCCAGCCACTACTTCTGACATACTGCGACCCTGGACGATGGCGGGTGGCGAGCCGGGGACATCTGGATACATCCAAGGCTTGAGAGTAAGTAAGACGGCGGCCATGAGCGTGGCGGCTGCGTCATTGCCGGCGGTGTGGAGGTTGGGTACAACCATGTTGAAGTGAGCGAGGAGATCTTTGAGTCCGATGAATGGCCCTCGCGGCCCTTTGATGCCCAGCTCTTGCGCCATGAGTTGCGTGTCGATGACTTTGACGATAGTACCGTAGCTGAGTAGATCAACGCCGAACGCGCGCTGCATGTGTTCGAATTCGTTCTCTACGGCGTGACCGACCAAGATGATGGGCTGCAGGTCAGACCCGTCTCCATACTCCCGCGGTCGCACAAACGTGTTGATCAGAACCTGTTTCACCTCCTCCATGGTAACGAACTTGGTTTTACCGAAAAGGAAGTTATCGGGGTCTCCAGCGCCGGGAAATCTGTTGATGAGATGGGCGTTCTCGATGATGCGGGCGTGCGCGACTTGGATGCTAGACAGGATGTTCTCTGCGTGGATGATCGGGGTTAGTCCCTTCTGCATAAGCTCTGCGATCCCGAGCTCGGTGGTGGGTTTGGGCTCTTTCTGCCACCACTCTGCGTCGATGCAGACGACCGCAGCCTCATTGAGTCGTTGGGGGGAGCCGACAGCGGGTATACCGCAGAAGTGGCCCAGGACTTCAAATGCGGAGGTGTTCTGGAGGGACTGCTGGAGATGGTCGTTTGGCGTCATGTAGTCCTGATTGGCGCTCATCTTTTCGGCTGACCGAAAGTCTCTGGGTTATGTGAGGTAAAGCCCTGGGATGTGTTAGCCTGAAGATGTAGGTGCGCTGGAATAACAGCCGCAAGTTCTTAGAGAGGTGCTTGAAGAGGTTATGGAAGGGGTGGTTGAAACCAGAGCACGTTAGGTTGTATCGCAAACGCGAGTCAAGAGAAGTTGGCTATTGTAGAGAAGTCGGCGTCACTTGCAGTTCGCGGAGTGCGCTAGAACCCGTGATATACAAAACAAGCTAAGTGTGGACCTCAGAAACGAAGTGAATGTGGCTCACTAGCGCCAGACGAGCTTCTTTCTTCGATGTCGTGAAAAAGACGTAGAGCTGAGTCGCAACGATCGATGAAGAGAACCTGGTCTCAGGTGATTACACATACGAATTTGTAGTGCGGCAGTAGAGTATGAAACATGACGTAGATGTCATGCATAGTCGTTACATGTACCTTCACGCGAGTTCGACACGTTGTACACGCCGTGGGCCATGACAAGTCGGCGTGATACCCTGCACTTGCACCAGTTACTACTGTCTCACATTTTCATCATGCTCATGCCATTTTACGCACTCATCTAGCCATGCCCAGGCCCTCTTCACTTTGGTCGACTGTCGTAGTGAGAGAGGCACTATCTTGTTTCCCTGCTAGCTCTTCCTCACTGCCGTGTATGTTTGTCCAAAACGTATCCAACTCAGTCGGTGCCTTGGGTTTGGGATGTGTTGAAGCACTGCCCATGGTGCGCAGATTGGAGCTCCATCCACGGACTTCGTGAGTCGTTCTGCGGTTCGCGTTGATGAGGACGGCAAAGGAGGGGCAAAGCCCGATCAAAACGGCTTACATGTGTCAGTATTGAGCGACTAAACTAACGGAGCGGATCAAGCTTAAAGACCTATGGGAGACTTACCAACAGCTGTCTCGGCCATACTCCATACTGCAAGCCATGTACCATCCATCGTCTTGCCAGTCCTGATAGTCTGTGCAGTGACATTGGCAGCGCGTAGAGTGGCGATCAAGATGCAAAAGACTCCACTGGCAAATAAGACCATGATGGCAGTTTTCTGCGTGCGCGGCATCTGAAGGTTCCACGTGAGACGCAAAGGAAATGCGATGACTAGGGTTGGTCAGTAGCGATTTCGAGGCGGGCGACTGGATGTGGAGGGTGCTTACGCATAATATTGGTGATCGTATCCGCACCGAATGAGTACCAGATGCTGACGAACTGCCTGACTTTGTTGTTGCAACCTCTAGACCCATCGAAAAAGCTGTCCAGTGATACGCAGGTTGTGAGGAAAGCTACATAGTTTCCAATGAGTGACTGTTTGTCATGTCAGCATGCAGTGGTTTTCTTGTTAAGATGTAGGGGGAAACTCACAATGACCCGGAAAACGACAAGCAACCACCACATCCGATTGTACACCCTCGGCAGCCCGACAGTTAGTTTCCTGTAAAGAAGAAGCAGGCCCAACTTGACGGTCCATAAAATGGCCCAGAAGAACGTCAAGGCAGGAAAAATGAGTCTGCCAATGAGATAGATATGATAAGATAGCTCGGGGTAGGGTGGTATCTTGCCTTCCGTTACCTCCTGCACCTTGACCCGTATAGGTGACAGGACAATGTAGAGTATGCATTGCGCAAGAAAAAGAACGTACGCAAAAGCCATGCAGCAGTCTTGTGCAGCTATTCTTCTCGGTCGCAGATACTGCAGCAAGCATCAGGCTATTATAGCCACTGACACTATGGAGATGGATACATAGCCGACTACCCGCACCGTTGTCTGTGGAAACGATGCGCTCGAGCCTCCGTCATTGGATTCGCGAGTAGAGAGAGTCATAACAGTGAATCTGAAGAATGAAAGAGTAGTGCCAGCTGGAGGGGCAACGTACTGGCAAGGAAGGGACGCCCCGGGTAGACAATGGGGTCTATTGCTACAAACAGTGCACCCAGCATCAGGTATAAGAGTCGTCCGTCATCCTTCTTGACCGCGCCAGCGGTACAGTGGATCTCAACGTGCCAGAATCCTGGTGCATGGATTGCAGTCTCATGTCGCGGCAACTTTGATTGCAATAACAGGAAGGAAGAGGCACAGCTGAACGAACTTTCAGTGCGTGTCGCCGCGCCATGTTTGGTGGATCCATGCTCTTAGAGTAGCAAAAGCTTGATGCGAGCTGCCCGTCCCAGATACTCTCCGAGCGACGTGTCGCACACATTGCTTATTCGATTTCCGAACCGATAAGCGACAGTCAGAGTGCATGTGTTCACCGGTGGACGTCTGGAAGCCTATCTGCCTGCCCTGACCCAACTCCAAATGCCAGGGAGTAACTTGTCGGCGTTGACAGGGCTGGGGCTGTCGAGTGGCTAATGAGGCTTGCCACGAGAATACCGCCCGGGAGAAGAGCTGGAAGCTGCACCTACCTGATATACGCTAGTTGTAATCAGATAGATGCGAGTGTAGCGAAAGGATCGAATCCAGAGTATGTACAAGAAACTTGGTGGTGATGGATGATGGATTGAAAGAGTCGTGGAGAACCGATGGCTGGGTTCACCCGCAGACCGTGCCGCAATGCCAAGCCGCGCTAGTGGCGGAGCACGGAACCGAGCCGTCCCAACCCGATTTCCATCTCTCTTTGCATCAACATTTGCAGTTCGATTGCTTGCCTCCCTTACAGAATGCGTCAACTAAGTGTCTTGGATCCGACAATGGGCGGAAGAGATGCACTTTAGATGCGTATCATTCCAAGCGCTCGACAAGACATCTCTCGAAGAAGAGGGGCTCAGTGCCCAAGATCAAAAGTGCAATCCCTTCAAAGTTAGCCAGGCATACAAGTCGCACCATCTAGGTACAGGATCCTGCAGGGACTGTGCTTGCTCCTTACTTCCGCGAGGCAATATGTGCGACTTGCATACGGTGGGCATCTCGGTTCGCGGCCTGCCGCCCGTCACCTGCAGAAGTAACGATCTGAACCCTCGCGATTGGACAGTTTATATGATCTCACTAACACGCGCTGTACATCGCATAGAAAACGCGCAACGGCGTTTCTAGACCCGTAAGAGCCGTCTCATCACTCGCCCTGGGGGCTCCGCGGGTTTGGATACGACTACAAAAGGCTTGTCTCCTGCGATCGATGGCCTGTCCCTTCACATATAGGCCGCAGAAGTTCCGATCTTAATCCCTTGGGTACGCGGCTATTTACTTCAGCGGTCATGAAGCTTTTCCATCAACTATGCGTTTGCGCTCTTGCGGTGGCAGCTGGAGCATCAACTCAGGATGTCTTCGAGCCGGCTGACTTCAATGTGACGGAGGCTCTTATTGACAACGGCATCAACGTGTCTACCATCCCCGCCTTGGCTGGTCTGGCGGCCAGATCCTCCTTGAAGGGCTGCTCCATTGCCGTAGGTTTCATTTACCCAATCTTACCCATCTTCCGCTAATTAGCTTCGGAAAGTGCAACTCCCTCAAGCTCGTTTTTGGAGCGGCCAAGGTATCCAACGCTGCGCCAACAACGTACTGGTCTATACAGCAGCTCGAAGTCGAACCTCATTGCACGTTCAAGCCTAGTACCGCCCTAGATGTCTCGAGCCTAGTACTGATCGCACGTCTCACAACATGTCCCTTCGCAGTCAAAAGCGGAGGCCATGCGGCCTTTCCCGGCGCATCTAGCATTGAAGGTGGCATCACTATCGATATGGTCAACCTGAACCAAAAGAAACTCTCTACGGATAAGAAGACTTTTACCGTCGGCCCTGGGAACCGATGGAAGGAGGTATACGACTACCTGACGCCCTACAATCTTGCCATTGTTGGTGGACGAGTAAGTCGAATGATCAAATTCAATACCTTGAGTTCGTTACTGATGCCAAATAGGCGGCATATGTCGGAGTCGGCGGACTCACGCTCGGCGGAGGTATCAGTCACCACACCAACGAGTACGGCTTAGCTTGTGACAACATTGCCTCATATGAGCTCGTCACCGCTTCGGGAATCATCCTTACTGTGAGCCAAAAGAATTTCCCAGGCCTCTATTGGGCCCTTCGCGGCGGCGGCAACAACTTCGGCGTGATCACGGCGTTCAATTACGAAACCCTACCTCAAGGTCTTATGTTTGCGAGCAAACGCCAGTACAACGCAACTTACGCGCCTGCCCTGTTCGACGCGTTTGGAAACACAGTTGAGGCAGCTGAGACCGATACCAAGGCCGCCCACTTTGTTGCCGTCGCTTACTCTCGTGGCGTCAAGATTGCATCGACTGAGTACGAGTATTTCGAGCCGGTCGACCCAGCGAACCCACCCGCTATACTGAAGGAATACCTCGCATTGCCTCCACTCACCGACAACACCCGTAATTGCAGTCTGGCCGACACAACCCCTGGTCTCAGCCAAAGCATGCCAGACGGCTTCCGCACGACTATGTGGTCTCAGTCCTTCAAGTTAAACACAGAGTTGATGAAGCGTATGACAGACCATCTTTTCGAGATCGCGCCGGGTATCCCCGTTGGTTCGCCCAGTGTCACGTTTCAAGCCTTCAGCAAACCCGCCATTGCAGCCATGCAGAAAAAGGGTGGCAATGCGCTGGGTCTTCGGCCAGAAGACGGTCCTCTATTCCACGCTCTCTTCTACCTGTCTTGGACGGACGAGAAGGATGACAAGGTGGTCTTGAAAGCGGCGCAAGACTTCCTCAGCGCATCAGTTGCCATGGCGAAGGAGTTGGGTGCTTATAATGACTACATGTACATGCCGTATAGTAGTCCTTACCAGCCTGTTATCTCGGGTTACGGCGCGCAAAATGTGGCTAGGCTGAATAAGGTCTCGAAAAAGTACGATCCCACAGGTATGTTCCAGAACTTGCAGCCGGGTTACTTCAAGCTTGATGGTGGGGCACCGTACGGCCAGGTTGTGTAGGAACACCAGAGCACATTCTGATCGACAATGCATGATACGCGCGCACTCATTCTGCGAAGCCCATGAGGGTAGTAGTGTCGACTGAACGATGCATTTTGTTATGCCTATTGGGTTGGCTGCCTCAGCCTTGTCATACCCTCATCTGGCAGACCACTACCGCATGGTCATGTTCTCTGGGCGGCACGTGTGTGCCGTCTCAGCCTTACCACATGTCTTCCGCCTCAGTCGTGCTGCTCCGCCATATTTGAACAAAGAACGACATTCGATCTCGATGCTAATGAGATTTCAACAACTAGTCCACTTATTTTCCCATATCACCGCGCTTCATTGTACTAAGATTTGCTTCACAGCAATCGCAGAACGAGAACTCGTCCTTGAGCCATGGCATTGCCGCTTAAATCTGACATACTCATACCTAACTGCTAAACACGCCACTTTCCACATGCGGACGCATGGCGCAGCAGGTAGCGCTGCATCTCACGTGGGCGGCGCTCGAACTTCAAAACCCCGCAAGATTGTGTTCAGCCTTCCTTTCTCATCTCGCCTCTTCTCGTCCACCCCGACTTATTCGACGATGGCACACCAACTATAACGCTACCGTGCGCAGATCGCGTTGTGCTATCGACCGCCACGATGGCGCGTGAGCCGGAACCGCTCGAGCGTGTGCGCGCGTTGGTGTGCGAGCACTGCTGGGTCAATTGCTTCGATACGGAGGGGTTCGAGAACCTGGGACGTGGTGATATCGATGAATTTGGATACAAAGTAAGTGTTGCACGCGGTCACCATGCTATGACTTGCATGATACAAAGCGTTTGTGGAATGCGATTGCAAAATCACCCAGGAAACCTAATCAAAACAATGTAGACTGACCCAGGATTGGAATTAGTTGACCAGAGAGAACCTCCAAGCAGGTAGCGGGACTGGATGCACGTGGTGTTCGATGGTCGCACAAGTCTTCCCCCGGCTTGAACTGACTGGGGATACCATCGAAATCCTTTTGAGAGCAAGGCCCGATTATGTCATCACGCCACTAGGCAGTAACTTCTACGAAGTTCACACTAGGGTTGATAAGCCTGGGTGGTTTTCTTACTACGCAGAACTTGAATTTTTCACTGAACACGATAATTTTGCCGCCCAACAAGTCACCGC